TCAGGACCTCCACCCGCAATACAAGTTATTAAATAATGATTAGTAAGTGCTCACTGTAGATATTAATCACCCCTAGGGTTAAGATTTAATATTAATTTTCTTCTAATCGAAATTCCAATGATTTCCGAGTATTCTTGAAGTTTCGTCTTGGAAAACACTTCAGCGGGTCCGCCAGAATATACAAGGATTGATTTAATTAGTAGAATCCCTGGTATCTTAGATATTCCAAAATATAGTCAAATATTTGAAAATGTCATTAAGTTCAATTATCGATTTTCTATTAGTTGTGGATATAAATAAATCACTGCCCGTGGCTTAAACATATTTACTTATCATCTTCACTAAACATTTTTACATCTGTGAAAGTTTTGGACAAAAAGCTTAAGTTACCCTAAAGTTAGGTAACCCATATTGCTCCTTCATCTTATGCAACAACCTTTGCATATGTGCAATGTTTATGAAGAAAATATGGAGTCTGGTTTAAAGAAAATTATACTCTGGTTTCAAAATAACCGGCAAGGACTTATTTTTAATTTTATGAAAATTGGTGCAGGAACAATAATTTTATTTAATACCCAAATGCATAATTTTCTTAAGGCGAGAATCGCTTACCATATATGTATACGTAGATAAATCGATTAGATTTGATATGGAATGGATATTTCTTAACAAACGCATCAGGTGAACGAAACGAGCCAAAAAAGAAAGACATCAGAAACAAAATTCTCGAAAACCCGGCCATATTATCCGCCTAATTTCACTTGAAACCGAATCAAGACGGTAATTTGAGATTTAAAAACGCTGATTAGCTCTACAGGGATGTAGATCAGACCTTATTTAAAAATCCGATAGAAAGAAATCGTATTTCATGTTTGGTTAATCACGAGATCCTCCACCCCTGCGCCATTACAATGCCAGAGAAATATTTTTAATGTTATTTTGATTATGAATCGTCGGACACGTTTTCTAATGCCGATTTCCCTTCCATTTACTGGAGCAATAAAGTATGCATAAAATAATAATATATATAGAGAAGGCGGCCCTTAATTTTTTAATGGCAAAATGCTTTTAGAGACGTCCTAACTTGGCTTGAATATTTAAAAGTAATGCGAAGACTTGAAAGCATTAGGAATGAGCAATTGAGCAACAGCCACCGCATAAAGACAATATAGTGTTGTAATTTTCCGAGGAAATATAAATACAAAAATACCAGTGGCGCCCGATGTTTTTTATTTTCGAAAATTTATACGAGTAGTTACTTTTTTATTAATAATTTAACCTATTCTGCAGAATTTCTTAGATAACAAATAAGCATTATTTTTAACATAAAAACTTAGAAAGTTGCTAATGTAATATTTCGTTTTGAACGCAACGCTCCACTTTTCACAATTTTTTCAATTTCATAATGCCCCATATCTTTTCGCTTTGAAAGCGTTATGAACGCTCGGCTACATGTATAAAAATGCCGGGTAATAATTTCTTATTATATTTTACTCTCTTGATGCCGCGTTTCGACTTATTCCTATGAAGATACGCATATTTTTTAGGGACAATCAAATTCTAACTTCGCTCACCTGGGACCGTCATTCCGTTGTTGCGCTGTACTAAGGCATAGCCGTAGTAAAATATTTTATCCTTTAAATTTATTTTAAAATACCACTATAAGCTATTTGGTTATAAACGGTAATTAATTAGAGGTAATTAATTGGAGAGTGTACAAAAGTGTTTCGTGTATAGTACATAAGGGTCTCTTTATAAAAAAATAATTATAAACACGCTCTCTGATAATTATTATTGAATAAAAAAGCTCTTGTGAACACCTGTATTACCAAGTTCAGAATTCTAGTTGTTTTTGTTCGCAGTTAATGCGTGAAGTGAAACTATAAATTCGACCCTCTAGCTAGTTTAATAGCGAAGGTAATTTCTAAGATTTGACAGAAGATTCCGGCCAAGGGACCAAAATCCATTTTCATCTTTGAAATACAAATCCTAACAGAGGTCATGTCGGTGAATTAGCTTAGAAATGGCGTTTAATTTTGGAGCGTTGGCGATTCGCACTAAGATAATTGGATTAGAGAGTACATTAGAACGTTTTAACACGCTAATAAATAGATTCTTATCAACTGGATACCGTTCTGCCCTTTCGAGGGATCCCAACCTATGTTTTACTTTGATTATTTCGAATGTTTCTTAATTAAATAGTGTTATCTGATACCGGCACCACTCGCCCGCCGTAAAGAATAGGTATACCCACGTGTAGGAGGGTTTCCTGGATTCGAATAATTTGATACTCGAATCCACAGTATGACTAAATACATTAAACATTAATAATTTTAAATGTAATACGTTACCGTTCTCAACATTTGATTCCGTGTTCACAGTTTAAAATGTAAATGATTTCGAAACAGGAACGAATGCTCACCAGGTTCTGTCAGTGAAATATGTACGACTTATAGCCAGAGGGTTGAAAATTTACATATTTCAACAAAAATCGTCCACTTCGACAAATCTCTAAGTCAGCGGATTTTGAGTGGTTTTAGTTTACTTTATAGCTCTAGTTATATGACACGGCAGGGATGAATTAATTTACTAGGGGAACAAAAGTGGCACATCGTACGATTTAAATTTCAAGAAAAAATCTTTATTACTTGACTCTATACATTAACATTACATCAAGATTTATATTTTGAACAATATTCTTATTTAAAACAATGGAAGAGAAAGCGAAAGGGCATGGAGTATTAGGTATGCACTCTTCTTGATGGATCCTTTAGCGTGGAATCAAAAGTGCATTATATCAGCCATAATATCAGCCATCGTAACAATATCTTATCATCAAGTTAGAGTTGGGAATTCACTTAGCTGGCTCCCGTACGCAAACTAAGAGCAATTCCACGATCTTATCTGCCGGCGCTAATCTAATATTATAATTGTATTTCGCGAAATGCTACATTCAGTTAACGGATTCCATGTTAACTGTTGACAGTAGCGTTTGCAATCTTCGTCCTTAATTAGTGGAAGTACAGGGGCCAAGAGAAAGGAGAACTCCTCGGGGATACATTGAAATCTCGTTTCCGGAGATACCTACACTCCGACGTTGCCGAGGTAATTAGCAGAAGAACTAAAAAGCGCTCCGGATCTCGTTTTGTTCTTGGATATATGTACCAGTCGGGAGTTAATATAATTAAAGCATTACGCTTATCCTGTCATTTTCTTTCTTATTTAAATAATTAGGATAATTTGTAAAAAACGATAAATCCCAATGGATTCATTTAGCGTGTAAGTATAGCAGATTAAATTTGATTAAAATAACAAAATTATCTTTATAACAAACAAAGAGAAAAACTTCAAAATGCCCAATAAATCCTTATTTAATTCTTAGCGAAAGTTTAGATGCTTTCATCATTTCTCTATAAAGTAATTTTATCAGGACGTGAGCGGTTGGAAACAGATTTATTCGGTATGAGAGCGTCGATACGGAACGGAGATTCAAATTACATTTTAAGATTTAATTTGGGGCCAGAGATATGTGCGTGTTTCCCTTTAGCAAGACTTCATACATAGATAGGGACCGAAAAGCGGTTCCTTCCTTTTCCTTTCCGCCTGCCGCCTCTCCCCCGACCAGCCCTTTCCCTGCAATTAAACCGCGCTTGCTTTTGTTAAGCTCCGCCGCAAACAATGCGTGCTTTTTCAGACGGTCCTTTCTGATCCTGGCGGAATGGACACTGTTGAAGTAGTACGTTTGATTTATAAGTACCTGGATCTTTCGTTAATTAAAATTTTAGTTTGTTTTTACGCTTTGGAGGAGAGCGAGCGCAGAGTGGCCGTCCCTTTGATATACAACACTCAAGGAACGTTCAAATGCCGGCGAAATGAGTTTTTTCCTTTTGATTGTCCTGCGGCTGCCGCTGCGACCGCTGTTGCGATACATACGAAATTTAACTTGCGGTCGAAATGACATAATCGCTTTCTTTACGCGACAAAAAGGAGATTTATTATGCATTTTAACGAATCCTGTGTAAGTTAGTTGAGTAATTTGTAAGACTGCTTCTATAGGAATATTAAAGTAGTTAGACACTGGAAGGAGTTTAACTTTAAAACGTTTAAAGCTCATGCATATACGAGTGCGAATAAATTAAGATGAAACGGATTCGTTTCGATTATAACTTCGCATTAAAAATGCATTACCTTTCGATTTCAAAAACATGCAAACAGTCGATTCGGTATATTTACGAAAAATGCAAATTTCGGCAATACGTTAAAAACCAGCTGCTCTTACATGAGACCCCCCAATTAAAAAATACATCTGTTTTAATTAAACCATAGCCGATAATTCCACTAAGGGTAAATATGACAACGTTGCCACTCAGACGAGCCCCTCGATTTTTGAAGCTATAATTCTGATTAATGCGAAAATTGCAATAATTGACAACGCTGCAATTTAATTGTTTACTTCTGGAGCCACTATTATTTATCGTTAAAAATAAAACTAGCTGGAAGAAAATTTAACTTGTAATGTTTCTAATTTCCATTCTTCAGTCGAGTCTGCGATTGCTTGAACATTCGCATAACTATATCGGACATTAATAGCATTTTAGTGCCATAACATAACTAATTATGTGTGCAGTCACCTATAAGTTGTTGCGTTGTTAAACGCAATTTATTTCAATTGCTTTTCTCATATTATTTATTTATTTATTACGGTTTTGATGTATTGCATAATAATGCAATAAAGAATTTTTATTTAATTATAAAATCACATTCAATGAAATTGCTTTTAATTCAGTAGTAGAGGCAATAAAAATAATTCTATTAGTTTATTATGTATATCAACTTTTTATTGAATTGCCAGGTGTAAAAAATGAATTGATAATAACAATAAATTTGATTTGCAAATTATTCGTAGCATGGCACTGGTAATTAATCAGAAAATTCGATATGGAAAATTCATAAGCCGGCTGTATAATTTTATCCATTAAATTTTTTCGTTTTTGTTTCAGGTTACGGGAAGAACACATTGACCCAGATAAACCTCTACCTTTAGATCAAAAGCCGAGAGATCTCAGTCCTCGAAATTGTAAGTACCTAAATAATATTTATTCCATCTACTTCTTCGCTAATAACAATATTAAATGTGACTCGTAAACTTAAATCTCGTCAATTAATAACTATCATTGAATAATTGACCCCTCGTTTGAAATGTCTGAAAACGTGTTAAAAGTACATCAGTTTTTGAATACGCGTAAAAGTATTGTAAGTAAGGGGCTGGTAATTGCTAGCTACTCTAATAATTCTTTCATCTCAAGAAGGAATGATTTAGGATTTTTTATAATAAAAAGCCGGGTTCTGGGTTGAACAGCCGGTGTGTCCATTTAAAAGCCTTGGCTCATGTGCCACCGACGTAAAAAGTTAACTATCACATTCGTGAATTTAATTAATGGTTGTAAAAGTGGGATTTCAGTCGGACGGACGCGGACGGACACAAACCAATCTAGTCGGCGATAAATTACCGGGAGGGTCACAATTAAATTCGCATATGCAGAAATTGAAACGAATAACCCCGGACTTTGGAATTAACTTAGCAGTCGCGAAATAAATCGGAGCGGTTTCCACAGTGGCGTACCGACATTTTTAGATCTTTCCAATAGAATTACTTACCCTTTTGGGTAGTTTTGTGTTAAAAAAATTGCTGTCAATTTTCGAGATATTTGACAATGACATATAACTAATGAAATTATTAACATTGACACAAATCATCCTAAATAAACTCAACATTTTTTGGATGAAGCAGAGCTTATCTAAATTATTCCATATATCTTCTCTAAAATTATTTATTTGATGATCTTAATCGTTCTGTACATCTGCAATATGTTTTGCAATACACCTGATGGAATATCCTGAGGTCATGCAGTAATATTCACTTCCCTCTACGGCCCTGATTCGATCTCGAAATAAACATTGCCAGTTTCCTCTCTTTTTAGCAGACACATCAATCTAGATATGTATGGATGAATCCGCTAAAATTTATTGCCCTTTACCAAAAAAAAAACCAGAACGAGTTTAATTGCGGGCCGTTGAATTGGCGGAAGGGTGACCCAACGAATGTTCGTGCAACGAATATATGCCATTCGGTTTACGGCACTTTTCAAGGTCTGATTCTTCGTTTCAGTATCGCCAACCGATCACAGTCCAGTATTGAATCTATCTAAAAGCGGGGGCGGCAGCGCCGGATCTCTGGGGGATAACGATCATTCGGGCAGCGAAGCGGACGGTGCTGATGTTCCACCATCGCCCAGATCACCCAGATCGGCGGCGGAAGAAGAAGATGACGACAATATATCAGAGCCGGAAGACGATGACGACAAAGATCAAGGTAAAAAAATACTATATTATATTTTTTATTAATTGAAGTATGTGAATCAATATCACGTAGGAATTATCTCAAGCCCTTTTGATAGCAGCCCTCTCTTGAACCTGGTTACTTATTACAATATTTCTATATTTGAATTGGTCTATCTTTATGAACTATTCCATTTTACTATTTCTCATGCTTATAGCATATTACTGGCTGCATATGGAGGCTCAATGAATTAGTACATATATCTGTGGGTGTAGTGGTTTCGAATTGTATCATCCTCTTGTGCAGTAAGAATTAAATATAGAAATTAATATAAATCATCGTTGATTGGAAGTGCGTGCAAAGATTCCAATGTTAACGATGGAACAACAAGAGTTATGGAAGGTTAATTTGTTTGTTTAAGTCATGGGAAAAATGAAAAAGGGAATTTTAATGTAGCTCAAAGGCCACACCGGAGAGATAGATGGCTCATTGACATGCTCCGCTGATGGCTTATTTTGATTTTCGAGAACGTTGCTGGCGCATTCTCAATGGACGTTGGCACCCCTGGGTTGCATTAATGGCTCGAGAAGCTGTAGCCACTATGTTGATTGATAAATATAATAATCGTATGGACAGCGTAAATATCATTTTATGTTTATCTTTGTATCAAAAAAGGAATAATTATACGGATTTTTTTGAGAAAACTTTACCGAAAAATGTCGAGTCATCGATTTGGATTTTCAACTGGTTGATTAGAAAATTTATTTTAATTTGACTAATGTTCCGGGGGGGGTCAAATGTACATTAGCGATCATTAATAATTGAACTTCTGACACATTGAGAAGAACGTCTTCAGTTCTAATTTATTATCGTCGTGATCGTTGCCTTTCATTACATATAAGAAAAAAACCTAATAGATCTTAAAGCTTTCTGTAGGTAAGGTACGTACTTTGTATCGCAATAATAAAGAAAAAATAAACACTTACGATTTTTTCTATATTCTAAGCACAAAAGATATCGACATTAATTATAAAGCATTAAAAAATACATTAAAATTAAAATTAATTATTAAAATTTTAACTTATTCAAATTTTTAAATGAATTGGCATCGTTAGCAAATGTTGGAAGAAAATCGAAATACAAAACAATTCGGAATTATCAAATGAAGTGTCTCGTAATCAAAGAGCCATTCGATATATCACTAAGGTAATTTAATTCGTGCTTGGCACGACATTAGTAACCCGATTCTCGTTTAGGTAATAAAATACTGGCTGGCAATGCTTTCAAATCGAAGACCGACCAGTTTTTGTCTCTTTGTGCATGGAGAAGGCGAGGGAAAACGTCTACCAAGATATCCCTAATTACTGTTTTATTTAATAAAGCATTATAATCAGCAAGGTGTCAATAACTGACTATAGCTTTAAAATTGAATTCGTGTAAAAGATAAGTAATAATAGTAAGTAAGTAAGAATTTTTTTTTTAATTTCAGACATGGACGACGGTGATCTTCCGCTTCCTGCGGCTCCGGGCAGCGACTCCCAGCACACGGCCCTTAACTATTCGACGCTAGCGAGCGCCGTGGCGCAGGCGAACGGCCCGACGGCCGATCCCAGCATCTCGTCCACGGAAACCCTCCTCAGGAATATCCAAGGTCTGTTGAAGGTAGCGGCGGACAACGCGCGCCAGCAGGAGAGGCAGATCCATTACGAAAAAGGTACAAATAGCAACATGGTGTATCTATTATCCTTAGCACAATATTACATGTATTTAGCCGCTACGCAGAAATGTTGAAAACGCTTTTACGATACGTGATTTCCTTTTAGTTTTTCTTGTTTTTTTTATGAATATTTCGAATTGGAAAATTCGCCGCGCTAATCTGTGATTAAGTAATGAGGCTCGGTTTGGCGGTTCGTTAGTTAATCATCGATTAGAGAATTGAGTTAGGGAATGAACGACCTTGTGTACAATAAACAATTAACTAAAAGTAGTACTTACTGTATAAATAAATCAAAAGAAAAAATCCTAGCAGACGATTTGTCGATTGAGCTGGTGTTCCAATTTATAAATGCAGGATGAACTAATGGCACGAACAATCTTAATTATCATTAGTTTAAAAAAGTTAATGAGCCAATCAGTTTAAAAAATTCTTAATTTTTTACAAATATCACTGAAATTATATCACAGTAGATTCTATTACATCTAATTGTCTATGTCTATATAGAACTAGATTTTTACTAAGATGTTAATTACAATATGAGGGAATGAAAAATGAATAACTTGAGCCGTGGGGTATTTGTAAAAAATTAGTACCAAGCTAACGATTAAAGTTAAATCGGTGGTTGTAAATCAATCTACCATCAGCGAACGGAGCAAAAAGAAATCGATATCTGCATATTTTTTTACGCTAATGATCTGCTAGGGATTGTATAAATTTTTCAAAAATAACTTAAAGGCACCCGTATTGTGCACATATCGTAACGTAAGTCTAGCTTTTACAGATGTACATACATGAATAAATACAACATACCTACATACAATAAAATACTAAACGGTCAATATACTGGTATAGGCATAAAAGTTTTTCATATTAAATGTACGTGTATCTTACTTACCTATAAATGTTTCAAGGGATATTATATCGATTATCTATGTCTCTTTATTCGTTTTTTTTTCAAAACTCCAAGTAATTTTCTTTTTTATTATACCTACCCCATTTCCATGAATGGGTTGGTCTACTTTCAATAATAAATATAAAATCATAGGTATTCAGATTTTAATAATAATTATTGTTAATCTGATTGAACTCGATAGGCGTGTTAAATTTATTTTAATATTCATGAATAATTCCAATAGTTTGACCCATATACCAGTATGTAGACGAAAGTACCTAAATAAACATGTTAATGTAATTGTTAGTGAGACGACAGCTTAGATTTTTTTGGAAGGGGGCACGCAATTTATATAATATATATTAAAAAAAATAATAATAATAAAAGACCCGGTGTTTTCAGTGATGGAATTTTTTTAGTATTCTGTCAGAAAAGCGGTTGATTTTAGTATTTACTATTTAGTGATGTGCCATTCTTACAAGTGTTGTTAGAAGTAGACGTTTATTTAAATAACACTAGTTAATTTAACTTAAAAAAATATTTATACATACATTTAAAGGATCAAAATGTAAAAGTGGGCATTTAGATTTTTATAAAAAAAATGTTTATTAACATTGTATATACCTATAATTCAACCACATAAGATTAATTTGGTTGCTGATTTGAAAAAAAGAAATAGTATCCGCGTAAATGAAAATCCTAAATGCAGTTTTTAGCTTTTGATCTAGTATAATTGTTCAATTTATGGAAATTTTGATATATAACTCTTTCATGTAATATAAACGTTAGAATAGTTTCTAATTGCCCATCCCTTGGACTTCTCCGAACTTTATTTATTAATTTTTTAAGAAGACTGAAACATCCCAAACAGCACCGACTGGGTACAGATAAAACTAATTAAAAAAAAATTACAACAATATTAAGAGGAGGAAACTTATTGTGAAGATTAGCTACAAATAATATCGAATCATAATCATAGTGGATTCGCACAATTTATGGATAGAGACTGGTACATTTATGCAGCTGGAATATCGCTGTGTAATGGGTTTACATAAGCCATAAGCTAATTGGGATTAAAATGATACCTAAATAGATATAAATCATAAAGGAGATGTCACTTAAATGATCCTGACTAAGAATACTGTTTTTTTCGTAAGTACATATGAAGGATATTCGCATATTGATTAGTTTATCGTGCTAAACAATCAAATTTGTGTTATTGTTATCGACAGTAAGGCAAAATACATGACGGTTTAGCATATTAAACAGAAAATCGATGAATATGCTTCTTGTACAATGCCAGTAGAACTGTATCACTTTGGGTTCATATGGGCATAAATTGTACAAAGTGCATACTAAATGTGTATATCAAAATTTTCTAAGCACCAAAAAGTCAGACCGTGAATTTCGCTTTGTGAAATTCGGTTGGAATTTTAGATTTAGGTATAACTCTGTGTGATGTACATGTTAACAATTCAAAATTGAAATAAACAAAATTATTACAAATTTATCCGTGTTTCATTTTGTTTCCCGAAAATAGAATTTTTGGGTATTACTTTACTCCTTATTTCAGTTTTAATTGGCAAGTTTTTCTCGTATTTTGGAAAAGAATACCAAATAGGTAGGTGGCACTTTTTTTTTGTTACTTTCGAGCTATTCAAACGCTAATTGAGTGAAATTTGAGCTTCGCATACAGATACTAAATTCCAGCACTGAATTCATACGGATCTGTTGCTCAGTGTCACTCATCATAATGATTCACTAGAAAACCATGTATGATATACCAAAATTGGTTACAAACATGAACATTATTAGGGTTATTAGCAAATGATTTACTTTAATGACTTGAATACTTCACGTCAACAAGTTGAAGTTTATTTTGGAGGAAGGAGTAATTACGGTAAGAAATTAGTGAAAAGGGTTTTAATATAATTGGTAATAAGTATGGGCGGAAAAGCAAAATTTAAACTAAGCTATAAGGGAATTATTTAAAAGTACTAATTGATCAACAAATTTGTTAGGAAATAATTACGCAAAAATAATGCCCTATACTATAGCAATGTACCAAATTGATGAACGTTTGGCTTGTGCTTTAAAAAACTGAAGGTTTTAAATATTCATTTATTTGCATTAAACCTAAACATAACCTTGATACAGTTTATTTAAACATACAACATTCGGTTCTCTATAACTTACAACGTTAACGCTCTAGTGTTGATAGAAGGCAGTGCCCGAATTCGTTCAAACAATTCCCTCAATAATTTGATATATTCTAATTTATTCAGATTTAATGGAGAACATTGAGAGATGTTATCTATCAGCCCGAAGGTACGCACATAATTTTAAATCGATATATGAAGGCAGACAATCGACTCCGAACCCGATCGTCAGTTTCCATACCATTCACACTAATTCGTACCCTTCGGTTATCGAAGGACCATTAAAATGTCCATCAAAAACGGCGATCGCCGAATTAAATCGCTCGAATCGAAATTATGGAGTTTTAGAATCGAACTTTAATTATATCTAACAGTTGTTATAAACTGTTTAGTTCAGTTCGTTTGCCTATAGCTTTTTCTCAACTTATCGATAGTAGTTTATCGATGATAAATAATAATATAAGTATTATCTTATAAAACATAGTTTTTAATAAAAGCGTTTCTAAGAATAAGAGGATATTTTAGGTAATTATGAAGAGTATACGATATAAGAGGAAAAATTTTGAAAACTATTTTAAAAGAAATTAAATAAAAGATATACAAGCGATAAATAAATTCGAATAAAAAGTTTTATAATGATTGAATTTACCCATCCGACATGTTTAAAAAGGTATAAAGAGCGAAACGGCATAAAGGGAATTTTAAAAGTGGCAATAAATTACAATTTTAAGTATTAATATCGTAAATTTATGGATACGCCAATAATACGGGGACTGTCATCGTATTTTTTAAGCGCAGCCCGGCATTAAATGAGCAATGTTAATGCCGAATGCACGGATGGCGGCGGCGGCGGCTGAACCGATGCCGGCTGTTTATACATATACCTATACAGTATGTACGAACTGATCCGCTGCAAGCATATAATGAGAATAATGAGATAGCTAATTTAACTTTTGCTATGTAAGGAATAAAGAGAACATACGAAATAGTCACGCCCGCTATCCCCGCTATTCGCTAGTGGACGAAGCGAAGCGAATTGACGAATTCTAATATCGGCCGGCAACCGATAAACAAGTTTCTGTTCTTTACTATCTTATAGTATTGATTGAGATTCTAATTCTAACGCTTGCAGCGGAAGAATTCGTACACTCTGTATACCTACTTGTCGACGGATTGCATGCTGGTCGGCATAAAGCTCAACATCGATGCTAATAGCATAACATTGGTTATAAAAATTTTAATGACTACTGCAGAGGGTTCCGTACATTGTCCTTTTAACGTTACGTTTTTAATTACAAAAGGTATTTGCTCCATTTTAATTAGATTTGATCGAATTATTTTTCCGTTAAAAAGTATACACGAAAGATCAAAAATGCATTTTTTTTAATTTACTTCTTTTGGTAATTAGTGGTTAAAGTTATTGTGACTACTTGCACTTACCTACCATATTGATAATTTCGCGATGTTGGTAAAAATCTGTAAATAGCAGCAAAAATCGATCAAAAAAGGCAAAAGATTTAGTACAAATCGGTAAAATAATCTTTATAAATAGATGAAAGATTAGAAAATCGATTAAATTACTACAGTGTTTCAATAAATCAATAAAGAAGAAGAAATCAATCAATAGAAAAGCTAAGTCAATAAAAAAATATAAAAGTCTCTAAATATCACTATAAAAATGAAATAATCCGTAAAAAAAGTAAGAATCAATTTAGAATTAAGAAAAATAAATAACAAAAACATATGAAGATAAATAAATACATTTGAAGGTAATACATAATATTTAATTAATTATTTAAAAACACAGGCGATAAAATAATTAAAAAATTAACCTAAAAGTTTTGTTATTTTGAAAATACAAAAAAAAGTTTCAGCATGATTTGAGCGAGAAGATGATTTATATGAATATATGGAAATGGATTTCTCCCAAATTTATTTAGATCCGA